GCCACCCGGTGAGGGCGCTGGTGTTTTGCTGCCTGCTTCCCCGCTCACTCCTGAGGGGGCTGGTGGGGATTCCAGGCCGGGCTCATGGTAAAAATAACTGGACGGTGGCGGGAGCTCCAGCTGCTGGTGCCGGTGCTGGGAGGAGTGCTGCTCGTGGAGGCTCTCTGAGCTGGTGACTGACACTGCTGCCGTAGTACCGGGGCACTGCTGGTTTCTGCTCCCTCCCAGTCCTCAGGGCGCTTGGCCAGGTGAGACAAGGGTGTGGGGAAAAGCAGGTGGTCAGTCCCGTCAAACCGTGTTGGCTTTGTTCTGGTAAGCTGGACGGGTCTCTGTGTGGCAATAAACATTCACAAATTCTTCCTGGTGCGGTTTCTTGGAGAGCAGGTGATGTCCTGGAAGGAACTGAAAGACCTTTTAGGGAATCCTGTTGTGAACAAATTTAGGAAAATTGAAGTTGGTTTAAGATACGCTTCTATCCTTGAAGGTTAGTTGAAGCTTGTACATCCTAAATAAACATGGAAAAGTTCACATAGATAGTGTATGTTGTGTGCTTTATTTACCCAACACACGGCTGTATAAGGAACTGAATTAAGCTGGACAGCCTGATGCCATGCTCATAGTTGGGATGTCCTACCCTCAGTCCAGCCAGTTCACTCAGTGTTGCGAGGAGTGCAGTTACTTACATTGTGTCTAGAAAAGTGACCAGAAACTTAGAGGAGTATACAAAACAAAAACTTCTTCATTGTAGCTATTATCCCTTTTTAGCCTAATGTATTAAGAGTTTAACTTCTCATAAGCATTATCTTAGGTGTAGGTATTTTCCTTAAGTTCTATCATTAGAAAAAATGATGAGCTTGAATTTCTCTTTATATAGCACATAATGAGTTAAGCACATGCGAGGTGAAGTATATTAGACATTTTGGGAGGAAACAGTGACAATGTTTCTCTTCCAAGTCTTGTACCCCTCTGTATTACCTTATTTGAGCAAAAGGAACTGTGGACTGTAGGTTTCCCCAGAGCAATTAATTTCCTATTAGGATGCAAAAACATGTAATTTGGAAATTCCTGCCTAGGAAAGAAAAGTTTAATTCATATTCTAGTATAATGATTTTATTTGTTAGCTTACCAAAGCTATATCTCTCTCCTTCATCCATTTAATTGATATTATCTCAAGTATTGGAGACTGAGTCTTTAAAGATTTTTTCCTTATTTTTTAAGTACAGCTGCTGACCACATATGTCTGAAGTATTTGGAGTTCTTAAATAACTTTTGAACTCTCTTTTTTTTTTATATATATATATATATAATTATCAGAGTACTTTTCAGTTTGTGGTGTATGTAACACAGAATTAACTAATACTTTCTCAAGTACTTGATGAAAATAATACCCTAGTGATTATTGTAGCCATTCAATCAAACAAATCTAGTAACCTACATCAAAATAACCACGAGTAAGGGTGTTACAGGGCTGGGTGTGGCAGAGGTAAGCGCATTGATACCAGGCGTGGTTTGACTTTCTGATCCAGAAAAATGCAAGACTTAAAGGGTCATCATACTCAGAGAAGGAGAGAATACATCCAGAAACTTCACACAGCTTCCATTCCAGACAGTGAAGTCTCTAAAAGAAGTAAAATGGTATTCTCCAGTTTTCTGAAACCTTTGACATGTAATTCTTAATTGCTTCTAAACTGGATAGAAGTATATAATGACATGCAGATGATAATGAAGGTCAAACTCTATAACAGCACTTTGATGGTTAGGGCTTCTGTCTTACAGGTTTAGTCTGCTTTTTCAGTGTGCATAGCTTAGCTGAAAGAATGTGTCATGTAGCTTCTTGCAAGCCATTATTCTTTATCCCTCTCTCTTTTAAAGATTTTAGTGTCTAAACAAAATAGCCTAGAGATAGACAATTTTGTAATAGTGTTGTTTCCAGATTTTAGGGTGTTGTTTCAGTTTGCTGTGATTTTTCTAGGTTTTTCATACCCTTGCTTTTCAGTTTTACATCCCTTTGTAATTGAAAATTGAAGGACTGTTTAAAATAGTATTCTTTCCATTGCAATATATATGGTATATCTATCCACTGGAAGATGATTATAAAAGAATACCTACACTGGAAATTGCATACAATAAGTATTTGGGGGAGGAAATCCAACGTCATCAAGAAGGGTCATCTGTACTACTCCTAACTCGAATACTCTTTGCAACATGAGAGCATTTTGGCAGTAGAGGGAGCTATGAGATGCTGAAGACCACAAAAACACAGGCTGAGAGGATTCAGTTAGTCAGGTCTCACCTCTGTGAGAGGATGGAGCGGATCCTCCTGGAAACTGTGCTAGGGCACATGGAAAATAAGGTGATTGGTGACAGCCAACATGGATTCACGAAGGGCAAATCATGCCTGACAAATTTGGTGGCGTTCTATGACAGGGTGTCCCACATGACATCTTTGTCTCTAAATTGGAGACATGGTTCTGATGGATGGACCGCTTGGTGGATAAGGAATTGGCTGGACAGTTGCAATTGCAGTTGCAGTCAACAGCTCAATGTCCAAGTGGAGATCAATGATGTGTGATGTTCCTCAGGGATTGGTGTTGGGACCAGTGCTGTTTAACATCTTTGTTGTCAACAGGGACAGTGGGATTGAGTGCACCCTCAGCAAGTTTGCCAGCGTCACCAAGCTGTGAGGTGCGGTTGACATGCTGGAGGGAAGGGATTCATCCAGAGGGACCTGGACAGGCTGGAAGAGTGGGAAATCCCAAGGTGGGCAATCCCAAGCACAAACACAGACTGAGTGATGAGTGGATTGAGAGCAGCCCTGTGGAGAAGGTATTATAGTGGATGGAAAACTGACTGTGAGCCAGCAATGTGCACTCACAGCCCAGAAAGCCAACCACATCCTGGGCTGCATCCAGAGCAGTGTGGCCAGCAGGTCAAGGGAGGGGATTCTCCCCCTCTACTCCGCAATTGTGAGACCCCACCTGCAGTGCTGTGTCCAGCTGTGGGGCCCCAACAGAAGGAGGACATGGACCTGCTCGAGCAGGTCCAGAGGAGGCCACAAAGATGATCGGGGAGGCTGGAGCACCTCCCTTATGAGGACAGGCTGAGAGAGTTGGGGGTGTTCAGCCTGGAGAGGAGAAGGCTCCAGGGAGACCTTCCAGTACAGGCCGCCTCCCAGTACTGAAAGGGGCTACAGGAAAGCTGGGGAGGGACTCTGCATCGGGGAGTGGAGTGATAGGATGATGGGTAACAGTTTTAAACTGAGTAGATTAAGATTAGATACAAGGAAGCAATTCTTCCCTGTGAGGCTGGTGAGACACTGGCCCAGGTTTCCCAGAGCAGCTGTGGCTGCCCCCTCCCTGGCAGTGTTCCAGGCCGGGTTGGACGGGGCTGTGAGCAACCTGGGCTGGGGGAAGGTGTCCCTGCCCATGGCAGGGGATTAGAACTGGATGCTCTTTAAGGCCCCTTCCAACCCAAACCATTCTGTGATTAATAAATTGGAACAACTCATAATTTTTATGTTTAAAATGATAGTCTTACTTTTAGAAACAAATACAATGGAATTACTCTATGTGAGGTATCTGTATATCATCATTATGTGTTTTATATCATTCCTATTGATATGAGCATGATATATTTTATGTTTATTCCATATTTATATTTACATAGTATAGACTTAGAGACATGGGTGTTGTCAGGTTTCTTTTAGGTTTTGCCAGCCTTATTACACAATATTCAATACATGGAGAAACTGTTTATTGATATAAATATTATGGTAAGGAAACTAAGTTGCTATTTGAGGACCAGAGCAAATAATACTTAAGTTCTGCTTATAGAAAGTAGTTTCTGCTGCCTTTTATAGTATGGCACTCAGGTAGGACTTGGTACAAATAACATTTTAGCATTTGTATCAAACTGTAGTTGGATTTTGTTTATTCAAGGCAAAACAGTAAACATAAGGAATTAGCCTGTGTTTTCAACAGGGCTAAGTAATTGCCATTTAGGAGGTGCTGTGAGGGCATAAAAGGAAAAAAAAAAAACCCAGAAGATACGTAGAAATGGCCTTTTTTTCTTTTTTGATTCTGGTGCTGTTCTGGGTGAAATACTTAGCCCCTTTTGAAGATTCTCTTGGCTTCAACTCCTTCATATACATAGGTCTGTTAAGAAATTAAGAAGAAAAATCAGTGGCTGCTCCTACAAAGTTTCATTTCACAGCTGCTATTGAGAGATGGTCAATAGTGAATTAATTGTGACTGGTGGCTGTGTGGGGCCTACCAGCCCTTGTGCAGGCTCTGAGGAAAGGAACATAAGGAAAACAGCCTGTTGTCAATAGGCATAAATTCTCTATGCAAATATTTGAACCACCGTGGGACAGCTTTTGGGAGCTTCAGAAAAAAACACCAAAGCATTGAAGTGTCATATTCTCAATACCACTGCTTAAGAAGTTTCACCCGTGTGACTGCTTTTATTAGAAGTGTGAAGAAGCACTGAAGGGTTGGACTGTATGTTTTTGATATCTCAAATCTCATACCTGACCATAAGTTTGGCTTTTTTTATTTATTCTTTTAAGAAGCTTAGGACCCATTAGCAGAGAGGATCTTAAAGCATTACAGTTCACTTCAGTTTCTGGTTTTACTGTAAAGCTGTGAAACATTTCCCTTTTGTCTCAAATTTACCCCTCGGTACCATCATCCCTGCCCCAACCCCAAATTTGTTTTAAAAGAGCAGTTATCAGTCATTGACAACATTACCCTGTAGTAAGCTCCTGTGGCAAGGCAGACACTTGGAAAAGGGCCTTCAGTCAGAAAACATCTACATAGTGTATATATCTATATCCATATATAACTCCTGTATACAGCTTGTATTCACATGCTTCAGCGTAAGATACAGTTCACGTGGGTAGAAAAATGTAAAAGTCACAGATTGCAAGGTTTATTTTAAAGTTTTAAATTTTGATAGATTACGCGACTTGAGAATTTTAACTGAAGATAAATGAGGTTATTTGACTTGAAGAAAATACTTCCTACTTGCAAAAGAGCTTTTAAAACTTTTTCAGTTCATTACTTTGTAAGGTTGTATGTGACTGCTTAACTCACCTGAACAAGTTCTTCACCTACGATTTCTCTGTGTGCTGTGAGTACTTTTCCATTATCTTTCCTAGTGAATGTTCCTACAAGTTTATTTCCTTCCATGTTCCAAGAACCCTATAACAGGAAAAAAAAAAAACCTAATATTTTGCAATAGATATGACACTAATTTGATTTAAAGACTTGCAGGAATGCTTAAAACTAAGAAGACATTAAAACAGTGGAATAATGCTTTTTTTGCACATTGATGGAAAGGCTGTAAAAATAAAATTTTAATAAAAACACTAGTTTATTTAATTGCATAACAGTCAAGCTAGAGTTTTTTAGTGCTCAGTACATGTTATTTTAATTAATTGTATCAACAGAAAAAAAGTAATTTCTTATAAATACCCACACTACACTCTAGGTGGTGTACTTGAATATTATAAGAAGTAAAATTGCAATCACCTGGATTTTATCATGTGAAATTGCTACGTACTCGGCTTTTTGGGCATTCTATGGAACCCTGAGTTTCAGGGTACAGTGTTGAACCATTAACAGTTAAGACTACCTTGCGGATTTGTATATAAGCTACAAGCATTCCTGAACAGTCACACTTTAAAAGTAAAATTTTAATTGAAAAATAGGAAGACAAGTCATTCATCTGTAAACTGTATTTTGTAAACTTATTATCATATAATAAATACATAATTATATGAAAATTCTCTTACAGTAAGTTCAGTCCCATCAGCCAGACTGTACTCAAAATTGACTCCCAGAGTGAATTCAATATCTATATTACGGAAGGTGCTTGATTCTTTGACAGTAAATTTGTTTCCATCTTGTTTAATAGTGATCTTCAGATTATCGTGGGCTCCTAACTTTCTTTTCATCACATTAATACCTAGAAAAATCAATATCAATCAGAAAAAACGTCCTAAAGCATCTTATCTGTCTCTTTTAGGTGACTTTTATGTGGTCAGATGACCAGCATTCTGACCCAAATTTGTATTCTCTTTCACTTTTTATTGAGGCCTTTTTCACCAGTACAGATAAAATACGAACCACTGTCCAACTGGAATGTTTATGTTTATATCCATATAACGTACAGTTTGTAAAAAGTAAGTATCAGGATGTTAAAATTACTTGAATCACGTGTTTATATAAAATTGAAAAATGATGATTTCCACCCCATGTAATTTCCAAACTAGTTTCATGTTATCAAAATAATATTCCTGCTATAGAATTCTGCTTTAAGTTCATAATTCAAATTCTCTGAGCCTTTTCCTCAAATGTAGACTTAGAGATTCTTTCCTCTTCTGAAATAAATCTGCAGAAGTTAGTTAAGTTTCTTAAACTTAACATAATATAATTAATCAGAACATTTCCCAGTATCTTCATCCCCCTCCTTGTCATGGAACTATTTGAAAATACATGCAGTACACTATGTAAGGGCAGAGCAGCAAACAGCACAAGGACAGCCTAGTCAGAAGGTAGTTCACAGACAGCTCGTGTTTGTTTCCAGCCACATTGGTATTATTCTTGTAGAAAGCATTGGAAAAGTAAGACTTACCCATTGCCTCCATGAACTTTTCATAGTTTTCATTTCTGTCTATTTTCCAAGTACCATCAAATGCCATGTTTTTGTCTGTAGGAGGACTGTTCTGAAGTAACGTATCTTTGCAAAGAGAATTTATGTACTAGCTTATCTTGAAAGCAATTTACAGGATGATGTGGCTGACTAAAGCTCAACTGATGCACTGATCTTTTCAAGGAGAAGTTTACTGTAATCAAATTTCCAATTGTGACCACACTGCTTGCTGAATCTCTCCCTTATTGCCCCTCAATCACAACAGTATCTTTATTTCTCATCTCAATAAAGAATTGCTAATCCATTCATTATATTCACCATATTTGAGTTGTAGTAAAAGTCAGGTATCTAGTAAAAGCAATAATTAGACTAAGAAAATTTCTTGATGGTTTCCATTTCTATTGTATCTTCATGCTTGTGGGAGAGTCTTTATGAAACTGGAGGAAATATATTTACCCAACTAACCAAATACAAACCTCTACTTGGTCTGTTATCATTTGGTAGAATCTGTTCTGCTTAACATAATAAGCATGGGGCAGAGAATTTACTGAATGTCTGCAGGTTGTTTCAGAAAACGATCCACTTGCTTCTAGTCTAGTGATGAGCTATGAAAATTGGGATGATATTCTGTATTCATGTGCTCACTCTTTAATATATAGTTCAAATTCTGAGCAGTTTGTACAAATTTTCTTCATTATAACACATCAGGGAATGTTATGTGCATCTAACCCATTCCTACAACAGAAAAAGATGTGCATGCAGCTAGTGAATTTACCGGATGTGGTTGATTTCCAGATTTTGTCTGTTCAAGAATAGTGAAGAATGTGAGTCTTCCCTGACTCCCCCCCTCCCCTTCCCCTCTAATTGGTGCTACTTGAAACTGAGCAAAACTATTGGCTCAGTTTTGGTTTTGGCAAGTTTAGGGTTATAATCATTCTGTTCATATGGATGCCATCAGCTTTGCTATCTCTTAGCTTCAAAATGTAAATGTAAACCCTGAAAGCCCAATTGGATTTTGCTATGGTCTGTACTCACCAAATTTTAACAGTGACTCATGTTATTATCTTGTATATCTGTGGATTGCAGCCTGGAACAAGAGGTTTTATTGAAGTGTAACTATAAATTTAGAACTTTGCTAGCGATACCACAACAGTGTGACTTTTCACTCCAGTCAGCTTCATTTTGAATATTAATCTGGCTAACAGACTGGAGAGGAAAAATATCTCGAGTATTTCTCACTCGATGAAAAGAAAAGAGAATTTATGTTCATGTTGTTGCAAGTGATGGAGGGAAAGGTACCATACTTGCAGCCAAAACAGAGTACTAGAAGCTGACCATGCATTAGAGTTCAGATTAACTTTTCCAGACCCTTTGGTCTTTTGAAAGATGAGATTTGGTGCAAGCTAGTCTGTGAACCTCATGTTGCAACTACAACTATTCCAGTTTGACTCTCCCAGCAGTAATTTGCAGCGGTTATTTTGGGTCTGCCAACAGACATGCTTTTATGAATGTTTCCTAATTAATTTCATTTGAAGTGAGCCACCTCCTGTTACACAGCAGATGTTTCAAACCAGGGAGTTTTGCATAAACTGTGTGGGGAGGGGTAGGGAATATGAAGAATCTCATTTGCCAAATGAGTGGTTGCTGTGAGGGCACAGTAACCCCAGCATGGGATCACGCTGAACATGTTGGATCACTAACCTGGTGAGCCAGTGCAGCTGCAGCTGGGAGAGCAGGAACCCACAGACATGTCCCTGTTCTGGGTGGGAAGGTTCACCTGCAGGTGACAAGGATTGGGGTTGTGGACACATGTCCTTTTCTTGTCCTCTTGTCTGCCACTGTTCCAGTGGCTGTTGTTTGTTTTCCTCTTGTCTTCCATCTTAGAAATGCCTTTTTTTTCTCTAAGACTAGGAAGAAGCAGAGCCTGCCACTCTCCTGTACTAGCTACCTGTTCTTTCCTTTTCCTACCTCTTATTTTCCTGCCTTGCAGGGTAAAGCAGCCTGCCAGATGGAAGGTGTTCAGGCTGTTTACTCTTAATGGCAGTGAGGGAAATACCTCACCTCACAATACATATTTAACAACACCATTTAGATCTCATTATATAGTTTTTACATGCAGTTTCTTCCCACATTTTCATGCAGTTTTATATCACCTTGGTTTACATGAAAGTTCTAAAATAAAATTTGCAAAGAAGTAGGTATAATTTTGGTAGAAAAAAACCATGCCTCTATATAATAAATACTGGACTTCGAGAATTAACATCTTTTGTGAAGGAAAGAATTGAAATACTGCATCTCACTGTGAACTGCAGCACTGTCAGGTACAGGCAAGACATTAGACTTAGGAAAATAATCCATGCTAGCCCTTGTAATTGGAACTGGGTAAAAATAAGCCAACAATAAAATGGAAGATGAATAGTTACGTTAGTATGTTGGTGAATCCCAACTCAGCATCTCAAAATCTGTCAGCCTGTGTGCGGTGCTGTGCTGTTCATGGATGCCCATCTTACCCTTCAGCCATCTCAGAAAATGGGCAAAATGAGTTTCTGTTAGTCAGATTATCTATTTTTATTGCATTGGAGTGTATCTCGACCTTTGTATTTATCATTGTCAATCTATATTATTTATTTAGTATATATACATACACAAAAATACCCAGTGTCTAGTTATAGTTCATTCAGTTTATTGTTGCTTAACAAAACCATTAACTCTCTTACTTTGCAGAGGGTTCTTTCTGACAGTGGCATAGTGCAATTTTTGTACCACTTCTGTTGTATCCAGTAGAAAATTGAGGCCTGAATGTGAATTATTCACATATTTGAAATCTATGAATCTAACAAACTGTAAATTACCTTTTATTTTGAGCATTTCAAGAAAGCTTTTCTACTTTTTAGGTGGGTTCAGCATTCTCTTGAAGAACCTGATGATTCATTTCATTTAAGAAATGATAAGGTATCTGAAGTAGTGTTTATATGTTTAAACAGAACCAGTGTTACTGATTACTTTCCTCATTTGAATCCAATCTATCCTTAACCTCTGAAAAAAATAACTCAGAGTAGTGACATTCTGCAAGTTAAGTATGAATTTCTACATCAAACTTACTTCAGCTGGGTCTTGAATTTCACATCAAAGCCTGTTGCTCCATTTCTGTCCCATTTTTCCCTTCCTTAACATTTCTTTTCACTGGGCATGAATGCTTAGGATCCTGTTCAGATCAGCCCCACAGATCTGTCAGTTAAGCAAGAATCCCCACAGGTGGTCAGTATTAATGAGTTTCATAGTCTCTCTATGTTGATGTAGCACTGACAGCATAAAGAACTGTTCTCTGAGGTCCGATGGAATGTCAGTGCTAGAACAAGCAACCGTCTTTTTAATCTCTCACAATTTACATGAGTTATTTAGGACTATTAACAGACTCAAATCTGACTCTGGTTTCCTTACATGTACTAGAATCATATGATATACACTTCATTCACAGTCGAGTTCCTCTAAAAGCTGGGTTTCCTTCTAAAATTATAATTAAAATTGGTTTTATAGATTTATTTTTTTTAAATGTTGGAATATTCCACAACCTTTTTTCTTCTTCTGTCTACCTCTTCCATGCCTGGTTTTCGAAACTACTTTTTTGTTTAGATGGTGCATTGAAAAACTTGGTTTTTAGTATTGCTAGTTGCATGAAAGTCATGAAAGCTAAGGGTGTGTAATCTTGGCTTCATGGCTTTCTTCAATGTGCCAGCTTCAGAACACTGAAAATGGACAAACATTAACTTTGAAGTTTGATCTTTAAATGAGGTGGATGGAAATAAATTATTAACTTATATGGTCATGCGAATCTCATCATGCCAGTCTGTGATAATCATACTAGGCTGTATTATGATGATAATTGACAATGAGGTTCCAAAGATCAGGGTGACAACAATGCTTTTGCAGTGGGTTATATTCGTTCATCCTGTTTATTGTTTTGTGGCTTGTCTTCAGGTTGTTCTGTCTAAAATTAGCTAGGACAGTAGAATTTGGCTTTACCATGGAGTGATAATGGCTAGGTGCCAGCATAAACTTAATATACTTATGTAAATATTATTACATATAGTATTATATATTAAGAGAGAGATGAATCCCTGTTAAAACCATGCAGATTAACTGGTTTCTCTCAGGTAGTTGTGAACTGATTTGGCAGTGTTTATATTTTCTACAGCATGATTCTTCTGTATGTCTTGGGATGGATCGCAAAGATGGTTGGGCACTAAGCATTTAAACCACAATACTCAACTTTATATTGATAGCATAAATCAATAGTTCTACACCAGTAAAGCCAACTCTAGCATAACTGTGCGTGGCCTAGCAACAAGGATCTTGATGGAGCCTAACTAATGCCATCTCTTGGATAAATAATTTCAAAGTACCTATTGTAATTGGATGTATTGCAGCAGGATTAGATCATAATTGAGCTAGATTTTGTCCTATTTCTGCTGCCTGTTTTCTGAGTTTCTGGTTTTATTTTGGTTCAGGGAGAATCTCCTGGATGCTGCTAATACTCAGTCTGTTCAACATGAAGATTCAACATTTGAAGATTATTTAGAAATTTCCAGTGAGAATAGATCGATTTGTCTGATTAGTTAGTAGTGGGCTGTGGATCTTAAAACTTACTCTTAGGTGTCTGTGCACACTCCTTTTTAATTTCTGTGTAATGGCTCTGATCCATAAAGTGCTGCACATTTTTGAGAGTTGATTATTGGAGAGAACTGAAGTGCATAAGCTAATAAGCTCCAGGTTAAAAAAATTTAGCAGCAAAATGCAGGATTTTCTTAAAGCAATTACAACTCTGGTATTTACATAATTTCTTACTGCATTCTAAAATGCATCCTAGGATTACCTAGAATAGTGTAATGTAGTCTCGTTTCAATGACAAGAGGGTGACAGTGACCAATTGCCAATAAAAGCAAGTGTTCTTTTCCAGAAAAGGTTATACAAATCTGAGTATTATTCCCATTTGTCACTTGTCACATAGAGACTGATATGTCAGTTGACCCACAGGGCTTTTTATCAGGCTTATCTAAG